AGTGATGACAAACCTACACAGCATCTTAAAAAGCAGAGACATCACCTTGCCAACAAAGGTCCGTATAGTTAAAGCTATGGTTTTCCCAGTAGTGATGTACGGAAGTGAGACCTGGACCATAAAGAAGGCTGATCGCTGAAGAATTGATGCTTTTGAGTTATGGTGCTGGAGGGGACTCTTGAGAGTCCCATGGACTGCAAGAAGATCAAATGTATCCATTCTTAAGGAAATCAGCCCTGAGTGCTCACTGGAAGGACAGATCGTGAAGCTGAGGCTTCAATACTTTGGCCACCTCATGAGAAGAGAAGACTCCCTGGAAAAGACCCTGATGTTGGGAAAGATGGAGGGCACAAGGAGAAGGGGACGACAGAGGACGAGATGGTTGGACAGTATTCTCGAAGCTACTAACATGAGTTTGACCAAGCTGCGGGAGGCAGTGGAAGACAGAAGTGCCTGGTGTGCTTTCGTCCACGGGGTCACGAAGAGTCGGACACAACTAAACGACTAAACGACAACAACAACAATCATATCACCTCTCAGTCTCCTGTTTTCCATGCTAAACATACCCAGCTCCTTCAACAGTTTCTCATAAGCCTTGGCATCTAGACCCTTGATCATCCTATTTGCCTTTCTCTGCACATATTCCAGCTTGTCAATATCCTTAAATTGTGGCACCCAGAATTGTTATCAAGGGGATGGAGCAACTCTGCTATAGAGAAAGTTTGCAGCATTTGGGACATTTTACTTTAGAGAAAAGGTGAGGTTGAGATTGTGTGATAGAAGCTTATTAAATTATGAAGCAAATCAGTCTCTTAAGCTTAAGTCAAGAAATAGTATTCTTTATGAAATTGAATATCAATATACGTATCAAGGCTTTGAGATTAGACCACTGAAGAAGCCCGGAAAGCTACCTTGGGAGTGTGCTATCTGAAAGCCGCAGTAAAAAGGTCCCATCGGGGGCGAACAGCGGCCTTACTTGGACTGCCAGGGCGAAACAGGTGCAAAACGCCTGTCTATAACTTCATTAACATCCATCTACAACTTCACTAGCATCTCTCAGTATTGTGAACAACACTGAACTTACCCTTTGTTGGTATCTTCATGAACTTACTTAAAAAGATAAAGAAAACAAAAGACTGAGTTAAGCATTTGAAAAATCCATTGAAACCAGACATTATAAGTTCATCTTAGGTTGGGTAGTTCGTAAGTCTCTGTGGCTTTGAACAAGGTTTTGTATTTTTCTCAGAAGATTGATAAAGAATGTATAATTATTTTGGTAATTATTGTATATATATTAGTCGCCAACGTGTTGCATGAGTCGTACTACTATTAAGTTATGCATGGCATGAAGAAAGTGGATAGAGAAAAGTTTCTCTCCCTCTCTCCTAACACTCAGACTTGTGAACATCCAGCAAAGCTGAATGTTGGAAGATTCAGGACACATAAAAGAAATTTTAGTTAAATTGTGGGTGGCTTTTAAAGATGATTAGACAAGTTCATGGAAGAGAGGGCTATTGATGGCTACTAGCCAGGATGGCTATGTTCTGCCTCCAAAATGGGGCAATACTTCTGAATATGGGTTGCTAGGAACCACAGGAGGGGAAAGGGCTCTTGGGCTGAGGTCCTGCTTGCAGGTTTTCCATTTGGGCATCTGGTGTGCCACTGTGAGGACAGGGTGCTGGACTAGATGGGCCATTGGCCTGATCCAGCAGGCTCTGCTTATGCTCTTACGCTCTTCTAGTGAGTCCTCCAATTCCTGGCGCAGGATTGACAATGTCATGGGGCAGCTTATGAGCTGGGGAAATGGAATGGAAGAGGAGGAGGGTGGGAAGAGAGGGGAAAACGAAACAAAGGCAACATTGTTATCTCTTCAAAAACAAGAAAGCCCTGCCTGCTTTTTCCAAGTGGAATGACTAGCTGGGATTGTGGTTTGGTTTCGAAAATATGTGTTTAAAAGAATCTATGTCTGGGAAAGGAAACACCAGAGTGAGAGGAGGCTCTCCTCAGTTCCTCAAGAATGGGCTGACTTTGCATAGAATCATGAAACTGAAGAGTTGGAAGGGATCCTGCGGGTCATCTAGTCCAACCCCCTACAATGTGAGTAGAGAAAGGAGGGGGAGTTGATCCTCTCACAATAGAAACAAACAAAAGACTGGTGGGGAAAGCTTCTCCCTTCCCCTGAGCCTAAGGGGTAGCTGGGGGAATCTGAAAGTCTGAAAAATCACTCCAAAAGCTGAAAAAATCTCTGCAAAATACTTTCACAACTTTGGGATTTATTCCTGCTCTGGGCCATCATAACCTTATGCTGGGAAATAACTGTGGAATACCAGTTGATCCTGGTATTCCCATGGGTGTGAGAAACTGCAAAAGGAAAACAGCTGACTGTCTGAATTAAAAGGGGGGGCTTGATGCACTCTCTAACCCGAAAACCAAACAACCAACCAGCAGAATTTAAAACTGAAATATGTGTGTTTGCAAAGCATTGGAAATATAGGTTACCAGACCTTTAAAATGTCCCAGCATTCAGCATTTCTAATTTGCTCCCCTGCCTGTACCCGTCTTGGAATGAATAGAGCACAACCTTAAGTAAGTTTAAACACTTTACTTACAGTAATGAGAGGTCTCACTCATGCATCATTCAGTGCTGCAGAAAAAACAACAGAGGCAAGGGACTATTGGTCACAAAATACAAAGTTGGTCTCAAACATGTGATCTGAATCTGAAGCCTCAGCCTCAGACGTCTGCTCAGTTACATGGTTCAAAAACGAACTTCCATTTTTTTACTTAGTATTAGTGTGAGTCCTGTTGGCAAAATTGTCACGCTCACTTCTGTAGGATTTTGGGAATAGGTAGGGATTCTTCCACTTCACATCAAAGTGTGTATGCATAGTAAGATTTGCTGCCTGTTTAAATTGCAATTTTACTGTCTGAAACAGCATTTATGTATTCTGCCACTTTCATTTTGTATAATAAATGAAGCTTTCTTTGTTAATCTGTCTCTCAGGAATCTTAATGTATAGCTATTTGTTTACCTCTAAAAATTACTGGGTCTAGCAGTTAAGAGATCATTAGGATCGCCAGACCAGAACAAAAAGTATCGGGTGCCAGGAGTTTTATTTAGGAAGGAATGGAGGCAAACACATATTCATAAGCGGACACACGTTATAACTCTAGTGATAGATCCCAGACCTCTCATTAGTGTGTGTATGCATACACATGAATGCTTGGCATGCATGCGAGTTCAGACACATACTCTAACATATAAGGCTACCGATAGCTACCAGCCATGATGGCTCGGCTCTGCATTCACAGTTGGATGCAGCAATGTTGCTGGAAACCATAGGAGGTGAGAGGGCATCTGCTTGTCCACTGAGAGGACAGGATGCTGCACTAATTGGGCCATTGATTCAGCAGGCTCTTTTGATGTTTTTTTATGGAATGCAAAATGACACTTGTTGAGTTTTTTCAAGGAATCTGTGTGGCTAAGATTTCTTTCTGGCCTGCTCTTGATACCACGTCTGCTTTCAAAGGAAAAAGTTAGAAATTCCTCATTGTTGTGAGGCTATTGGGGCATTATTTCCCTCCGCTAGGGGACCAGAGGGGGGAGGATGATTTGGCAATTAAAGTAATGGAGCCTGACCTTCCGGACCACAATGTGTTGCTTTAAGACCAAATATTCACGCCATCGGCTACGCTAGCAAAGATTTTGAGGTAGTTTACGAGGCAGCCCACGAGCTCAGCTCAGGAAGCAAAGGAAATCCAGAAATGGCCGCTTGGTGATTTTTTTTCCCTAATCTCTGGGTTCTGAGTTTTGATGCCAAGTCAAATTGTATCCAAAGACGTTTGACCACAATAGGGTTGAAGTCAGAGGGATGTGAAAGAGAGACACTGAGGCAAGAGGTCAGGATTCGCTTAGATACACCCATGCTTCCCTGGTGCTCTCTTTCATAGGCTCATAGAGTTTCAGGCTTGGAAGGGACCAACCCCTTGCAAAGCAGAAATCAAAGCTAAAGAATGCCTTGCAAGTGGCCATCCAACCTCTGCTTAAAAACCTCTAATGAAGGAGGGTCTGCCACTTTCCAAGGGAGTTCGTTCTACTATCCAACAGTGCTAACCATCAGAATGTCCTTGCTAAGGTTTAGTCAGAATTTCCTTTCTTGTCATTCAGATCCATTGGTTCAGGTCCTCACCTCTGGAGCAGCAGAAAATAGGCTTCCTCCATATTCAACGTGGCAGCTCTTCAGATACTTTAAGATAGCTCTTGTGTTTCCTTTCAGTCCTCCTCCTCCTCTTCTTCTTTGTTGGGAAAAGCACTCTTCAGGACTCAGCTGGAGCAAGTGGCAATCGGGTTTTCTATGGATTGCCTTTCACCCCCAATTTAAAACTAAAGAGCAGATTTTCCCTGGGAAAGGAGTGAGGCAAGGAGAAAACTGCTTGGACTTGTGCCTTGAAAACATGGGTGAAGTAGAAAACTGCTCAGACCTGTGCTTTCTAGGCGTAGGACCAGTGAAGGTGTGGACCACCCCCTGGTCTCCTCTTTTCCAGGCCAATGTCTCCCTTTTTATTTCAGGAAAAGCTTTGCAAGGAAAGCTTTGCAAGGAAACCTTCTATGTCTCCACGATCTATTAATTGCAGCCCTTTTTCATCCTTGGGAGAATACCACACGGTTCATCCTGACAAACTGCCACAACTTCAATCAACCACTCCACTCTGGAACATAGAATTTCTCCTGCATATCTCATTTCTCAATCTTAAGTGCTATGTTCCCATCTCTGAAATAGACAGATGCTTTTGGAAAGTCTTAATCCCTTGATTACATTTCAATATATTTTTCATCTTTGCTGGAAGCCGCACAGAGTGGTTGGGGAAACCCAGCCAGATGGGCGGGGTACAAATAAATTATTATTATTATTATTATTATTATTATTATTATTATTGATGATGATCATGGAATTGTGAGTTGCAAGGGTCTAGTCCAACCCTCCGCAATGCAGGAATCCTTTTGCTCAATGTGAGACTCAAACTCATGACCCTGAGATATTAAGAGTCCAATGCTCTACCAACTGAGCTATCCATGAGGGTCAGCATTGTGAGGCATTCCTCTCACCCAGACAGCAAAGAGGCCTGGAGTGAAATCAGGACTCTCAGGTTTCTTGGGGACACTCACTTATCCTGCCACCTCTCTGTGATTTCCAGGTGCTTGTATCTATTTTGCAAGGCATTGGACTAGATGACCTATGGGGTACCTTCCAGTTCTACAATTCTATGATACTATCATTTAGCTCCTGCCACACATTAGGAGTGCATACTGGTAAGTACTGCCAGAAAAAACCCACTGGTTATTGCTATTAGAAATATCAGATGCTTTAACTCAAATTAAAGTCAGGTCGAATATCTAAAATGCAAAAAACCAAAACAACCCCACAGATGGAAAGAGGTCCCTTCGACTTGTTGGTGTGGGGTGGGTGAAATAAATAGGAGTGGGGAGCCATTGCAAACCCTGTGAATGCTCCCGCATTGGAGGCAAAGCTGAACTTGAGAACTTTGAAGTCATAATTGGGTTGGGCTAATGCAAAGCGTGAAGACCACTGGGGGTGGGGAGCAGGCTGTAGTAGTCATAGCCAAAGCACAAACATATGTTTCTCTTCCCCCTCCCCTCCCCCTCTACATATCGAGAGCTTATACACATGGCACTTCGGAAATGCTAGTGGGGCGGCATTTAGAGGCCTATTCACATAAAAAGATGAAACCCTGCAGTAGAATCATAGAACAACAGTAGATGGGTGCATGTTCAGAACCAGCAAAACTCTTCTGATGTGTTAATGCAAAGATCCCAGATTCAATAATATTTTTAAAAAAGCAATAAGGAGTAAGTCCTTTGAAGGGAATGCTTCTGTCTTCCTTACAGATGCTCTCCTCTCAAGACCTTCATTTTCCTCGACAGAATTCTCCCACTCCCTGTAACTGTGGGAGTGGGACACAGCTACAGCGTCCCTGAATTCTCATTCACAGCTCACATATGAACATAAGAACAACCCTGCTGCATCAGGTTAATGTCCCATCTATTGCAGTATCCTGTTCTCACAGTGGCCAACCAAAAAGGAAACCAGCAAGCGGCACTGGAGCACAAGAGTGCTTTCCCTTCCTATGGTTTCCAGCAACTGGTATATGGAAGTATTGCTGCCTTGAACTGTGGAAGTGAAGCTTAGCCATCCTGGCTCATAGCCATCAATATAATTGTCCTCCTCCATGATTGTTTCCCCCAATCCTCTTTTTAAGCCATTCAAGTTGGTGGCTGTCACTGCTTCCTGTGGGAGGGAGTTCCATAGCTTAACTAAGAAGTCCTTCCTTTTATCTGTCCTGTCCAACATTCAGCTTCATTGAACACCCACAAGTTCTAGTGTTATTAGAGAGCCTCTCTTACCTTTTTTCCAGGTCATCCACCTTTGCATCAAGGGAACAGACCAATCTTTGGAGAAGCAGGACCTCACTGCACCTCACTGGCATACCCTTTGGGCAGCTTCCTTATCCAGAGGTGGGAGCAGGAGAGGGGGTCGGTGGGATGGATGCCCTGAAAGTGGGAGGAGAACAAAACCCCTCAACAGTCCACAGAACATCTCAGAAAACTTGGAAGCTGTCTTACCTTGAAACAGACCCATTAGTCCAGCTAGCTCAGTACTGTCTGCACTGTCTGGCAATGGCTCTCTGGTTTTTCAGGCAGAGCTGTCTCTTAGACCCACCTGGAGATGCCACTGTACCTGAGTACTGTATCTTGTACCTGAGATTTTCTGCATGCAAAGCAGATGGTCTTCCATAAACCTTACAAATCAGTGAGAGATTTCAGGCTACAAACCCAATGATGCAGGGTGAGATTTCAGACTAGAAAGTCCATGATGCTGGGAAAGAATTCAGATTGCAAACCCCATGGTGCAAGGAGCGATTTTAGACTATGCATCCATTATGCAAGGAGAACTTTCACATGACAAACGCAGGGAGAGATTCTAGACTGCAAACTCCCCAATGCAGGGCAGGATTTCAGAGTACGCACCCAAGGATACAGGGAGAGACTTCAGACAATGAACACCTTGATGTATGAAAATATTTCCATGATGCAGTGTTTTCCCAAACCAAAAGGACTCATTACTGGAAACGTCCAGCCCCTAGCAATTGTAAAGAAATAAGATATGAAAAAGCAAGTTTTCTCCCATAAGGTTTGTGACATTACAGATTTGTTTTTGTTTTTTTAAAAATGATATTTATTAACTTTCAATAAAAGATTAAACATAGAACATAAAAAAGAAATACACAATTCAAAAATACACAATACATAATCCAAAAAAGAAAAAAAAGAACAAAAAACAAAAGACAAAAAAGAAAAAGAACAGTTAAAAACAATATCACCTTTTCATCTCCATTTTTAAATTTACTTATTTTCTGGACCTCCTCGTACCTCCCTCTTTTGTATTCCAGTTCAAATTGTTTGTCCAGCAATTTCTTTCCCTCTTTTTAATCCCAATCTTTAATCTTAATATAATATAACATTAAAATTTTACCTCTTAGAAACCAAGTTTCCATTTCCTTAAACTTTTTTAATCCTAATCCTTAATCTTAATCTATCTATAACTTTAAATCCTGTACAGCTGGAAGCCACTTATTTTCAATCCAACATCACTCTAACATTCTTTAATTTTGCAATGTTTCTGCAGATAGTCTTTGAATTTCTTCCAATCTTCCTCCACCGACTCTTCTCCCTGGTCACGGATTCTACCAGTCATTTCCGCCAGTTCCATATAGTCCATCAGTTTCATCTGCCATTCCTCCAGTGTGGGGAGCTCTTGTGTCTTCCAATACTTTGCGATGAGTATTCTTGCTGCTGTTGTTGCGTACATAAAGAAAGTTCTATCCTTTTTTATCACCATTTGGCCGACTATGCCCAGGAGAAAGGCCTCTGGTTTCTTGGGGAAGGTATATTTAAATACCTTTTTTAATTCATTATATATCATTTCCCAGAAAGCCTTAATCTTTGGGCACGTCCACCAAAGGTGAAAAAATGTACCTTCAATTTCTTTACATTTCCAACATTTATTATCGGGCAAATGATAGATTTTTGCAAGCTTGACTGGGGTTATGTACCACCTGTATATCATTTTCATAATATTCTCTCTTAAGGCATTACATGCCGTAAATTTCATACCTGTGGTCCATAACTGTTCCCAGTCAGCGAACATAATGTTGTGTCCAACGTCTTGTGCCCATTTAATCATAGCAGATTTTACCGTTTCATCCTGAGTATTCCATTTCAACAGCAAGTTATACATTCTTGACAAGTTCTTAGTTTTGGGTTCTAACAGTTCAGTTTCTAATTTTGATTTTTCCACCTGGAAGCCAATTTTCTTGTCCAATTTAAATGCCTCCATTATCTGAAAATAATGAAGCCAGTCTCGCACTTTGTTTTTTAGTTTTTCAAAACTCTGCAATTTCAGTCTATCTCCATCTTGTTCCAAAATTTCCCAATATTTCGGCCATTTGACCTCCATATTGAGCTTTTTCAAGGCTTTCGCTTCCATTGGTGACAGCCAACTTGGGGTTTTGTTTTCTAATAAATCCTTGTATCTTATCCAAACATTAAACAACGCTTTCCTGACAATGTGATTTTTAAATGCTTTGTGTGCTTTGACCTTATCATACCATAGATATGCATGCCATCCAAATACATTGTTAGAAGGTCCAAAATGTCAGTGTTTTCAAGAAGCAGCCATTCTTTCAACCAGCAAAAAGCTGCTGATTCATAGTAAAGTTTAAAGTCTGGCAGGGCAAATCCACCTCTTTCCTTTGCATCTGTTAGTATTTTAAATTTTATTCTGGGCTTCTTGCCCTGCCAGACGAATCTAGAAATATCTCTCTGCCACCTCTTGAAACAATCCATTTTGTCCACAATTTGCAAAGTTTGAAACAAAAACAACATTCTAGGCAATACATTCATTTTTATCGCAGCAATACGGCCCAGCAGTGAACGCTTCAAATTTGACCAAATTTCTAAATCTTTTTTCACTTCAGCCCAACATTTTTCATAGTTGTCTTTAAATAAATTCCCATTTTTTGCTGTCATGTTAATCCCCAGGTATTTAACTTTCTTAACCACTGTTAAACCTGTCTCATTCGGAAACCATGACATTACAGATTTGGGTCCAGTTGCCTCAAAGTTTCCAAGGAGCATTTCCACATTTTCCTACAGAGTCATTTAGTTATAGATTGTCTTCAATAGTTCATAAAATCACATTTGTTTTGCTTCTATAAAATAACATAGGAATAGAGGAAGCTGCCTTATAATTATCATTGGCCCATCTTGCTCAGTACTGTCCACACTGACTGGCAACACCCTCTCTAGGCTCTCTGGTGGGGGTTTCTGTCATTGTGAATTGAACCTAGGACCTTCTATTCCAACCTTTCTGCAATGTGGACTCATGTGTCACCAATATGTTCCATACTTACCTACCAAAGACAAGGAACACTGGGATCTTCAATGTATCCGTAAAACCTCAATGATCTCAGCTCCACTCATCCTGGACATAGACCCTGGAAATGTGATGTTGGTGGTTTCAGTTCCCAGTATCTATCTATCTATCTATCTATCTATCTATCTATCTGTCTAGAAATGGGCATACAAAGATGCTGAATGTTAAAAGATTCAGGGCAGATCAAAGAATGAACTTCTTAGTTAAACTATGGAACTCACTCCTGCAGGAGGTGGTGATGGCAATCAACTTGGATGGCTTTAAAAGAGGACAGGACAAATTCACGGAGGAGGAAAATAATATTGATGGCTACTAGTCACTATAGCTGTGCTCTGCCCTCCACAGCTGGAGGCAGCAATAATTCTGAATGCCTGTTTCTGGAAGCCACATGATGGGAGCGGGTCCTTGTGCTCATGTTCTGCTTGCAGGTTTCCCACGGATCAAGTATAGATCAGTTTCTGATGTTGGTGACACATTCAGAACACACTGGGATGTGTCAAGTGGTAAATCCCCAAGAGAACCAGGATAAAATAATGTCATGCAAAAAACGGCTCTTTCAT